CGGGACTAGTGCCCTCCCATGTGTCGTTCAAATCCCTTCTGTTCTTAGAGTCTCGCCTCTTTAAAACCCCCAATCTTGAGCCCAGAATCTCCCGGCGCAGTCAGCAGACCCAGCCGCTGGCAGAGCCAGAAGAATTTGGGCTCCAGATTGCTGCCTGCCTTTGAAAGAAAACTAGACTGCCCAGAATCTTTTTCACTAAACTGTGACACGCTTCAATGTGGAAAACTAATTGGAAATAGTTACTCAATGGAAATTTTTAAATTTAGTTAGAGTACTAATAAATAGATTATTTGCTCTCAATTTCTCTGAGATCTCAAGCTCATAATCTGACTGCTGATGATAAGTAAATCCAAGAGAGACATGCTTCTTTTGTACATTCATCTTGCTTTAATTATTTGTTTACAGTAAGAAATATGTACAACAATAATATTTATTGTTTGACCTAAATGAGAAATAAACTTTTTTTCTTTTTATCCTCCCTAGCTTTCAACCTGAGAAGGTTGAGAATTGTCATAATTTTGCATATACTTGCACTTGTCTGCGTAATTTCCAGAGAAAGTCCTTGGAGTATGATAATATTCTGTAATAAATGATGCAAGTATATTGTAAGTTAAACAACTTCCATGCAATTTTTTTTATTTGGTATGACATAAATTATGTACAGAATGAAAAGCAATACCAAAAGAGGCTCTCATTCACTCATTTATAGACATCACAAAAAACAAAATTTTATGTTAATATTCTTCCAATTAGTAAATTGCCCATGTAAACAAGGATTTACATTTGGTAGCTGTTCTGCATGTTTCAAATCACCATCCAGATTCCCACACAGGTTTAGAGATTGCTCTCCTTTGCACTGATCGCCGCGAGCCACTTGATAATCTAGAACTTGCCACACTTACAGAATCCCCAATCATTAAACTCGACTCACTAGAAGAACGTGAAAGTTGGGCAGCACTTGATACAGTGCTCTTTGCACTACTTGGCCGACTTCTTGATGCAGTTTTTGAGTACTGTTTCTGTTTAATATGTTCTTTAAGCAATGAATCCTTGGATAAACTCCTTGTTGGTTTTACTGCTTGAAGTCTTTCCAGAAATTTCTAGCAAAAGGTGCAAAAGACAAAAAATCATTAGAATTTAAAGTTAATATTTAGGCACATTTAGCTTGCACTGTTTTTGTATACTGTAAAGTTCTCAAAGTAACAACACTCTAAAAAAACAACTTGCAGCAACAAACATTCACGGTTGCTGGCACAGAAAGCTACAACAACACCCCAAAAAACAACCTTACAATCATAAATTGACCTTTGTTGGCAGAAAATTAAATGGAATAATATATACATGTATACCGTATTTGTTGTAGGTCAAAATGAAATTCAGGTTAAAATAATTTTAACCTAGTTTGATTCTCAATTTCCTTTGTCTTCTAACCCAGTTAGGGTTAAGAGACAAAGGAATTTCATTTTAACCTGAATTTCATTTTGACCCACAACATATACACAGACACTGGTGGCCAGGGACTCAACGTCTACAGACCTCACTGTCCCCCCAGATTTTGCATAGTATGTGACTACATTCAGGAGGGATAGCAACTGAGATTCATTCTTCTTCAAATTCCTCTTAAACTGTACATAATGAACAGTGAGATTGCAAAAAAATAAGGACTGATTTTCTTGCAGTTTTTACTGGAATCCAAAAACACAGTAAATGATTTTTTTTCAGGGGAGCAGCGGTGACAGAGTTGTGTAAACACTATTTTGTCTCCCATNGTAAACCCTATTTTGTCTCCCATCAATTTGGCTATTTCCAAATTCCAATTTGACCTGGATAAAGAACCCGAAAAAAAAAAAAAAAAAAAAACTAGGACTGATGTGGTTACTTCTCTAAATACTCTAATTTCAGTCATGTTACAATTGTGTGGATGTTTTAATATATGGGATATTCATATTATGTACACATTTTAGCCTCCCAATTACAAAAATCTGAACACAGCAAGGGTCTTTCTTCCTTAATTAGTGTTAAGGGCATTATATTTTGTTACAGTAACAATTTGCCACAGATGAGAATGGGATGAAATCTGTGCCATCATGCAGTCCCTTGTGGGACCATAATATTACAGGGGGCAATTCAGCATAATGGTTCTGTAAGTAACTGTGGGATCATACTAAACCCAGATATTTTTTCTTGTTTTCTACGTGGTGAATGACCATCAGAAAATTCTTATTACCGAATCAAATATTTATTTTGTTGTTTTGTTATTATTTTTTCATTTGGGTAAGCTATGAATAATTATACTCTAGAATAAACAATTTATTTGTTCTTCTTTCAACTTTGAACATGTATTCTTCAAAGAACCGTAAGAACAAAGTGCGAAATAAAGTAAAGAAAATAAGCAGATTCATCGTCTTTCTGAACAATTTTTTTTAAACCCTCTTCGATTCTAAACGCGTCAGTAATAAATAATTAATTTTGATGAAGCACGCAACACGCTGTTTAATATACGAAATGTTGACCAACAAGAGTGTTTCGACCCTCGTTTAAAAGAATGAAGTAGAGATAATTTGGGTCTATTTGAGATACAGAGAATAAAACTTGCACGCAGTTTGTTCGCACCGAAAACGTTCAAGAGTTTCAACATTTGCGTACTCAAATGTAACGTGATGTGAAAATAGGGCTTTGTACAAGCAGATATTTCGCTCCTTTCAAAGTACGCTTAATTACATCTCTTACCTGATTCTCCATATCAACTTTTCTTTGAAATCTGTATCTGTTAACTTCAGACGATGTTTGTACCCTTAAGGGTTCTGATAGAAGTTTCCTCGGTTGAGCAGACTTTGGCCTTCCCCTTGTTCTTGTAATTTGCTTTAAAAGTCTCTGGTTCTCTCGATCAATGGCATCCACTTTCGCATTGCTAAACGACATATTTTTGCGTTCAAGAGGCGGGGGCCGACGAGATTCGTTTAGATGTACAGCACTTCTAGGCCTTGATCTAGAAGCAGTAGACACCGAAGAATGTCTCGAGGCAGTGTCGTCGAAATCTTTTCCCTTTTTAACAACCTCCCAATTATTCTTTGAAGCCGCCGTTCTAACACCTTCCTCCATCTTGTCTGCTTGTTTATCGTTCAATTTCTCGTTAATATCAAGAACTGCCTGAAGAAGTAGATTCAAATCTATCTGATCGGAGTTTGGATGTAAAAAATGTTCCCTTCTCAGTCGATCATCGGTTCTATCGCGACATGGACTCCCTGTTGAATTCCTGCGATTAGTTTTTGCCGCCGCCATGTTTCTTTTGGAACCGTTTCTTTAGGAAATGCTACGTCACGTTACCATAGTAACTCCTAACATGTAGCAACTGTTTCTATCCCCAGACTTCTCACGGAAGGGATGTTTTGAGCATGCGGTGGTACATTTCTTATTCAGCGGTCTCTCGTTGGAGAGCCTTCGAGTGGAAGAATTTCGTCGTGGCATGGAGGCAAAGTTGAAAGAAAACGGATGGTAGGTCCTATTTTGAAAGTGTTAAGTATTTTATTTCCTGCGTTTTGTGTTCGTTCCCTTTAAGGCGTAGCTTTGCGCTTTGGCTTTTTGCCTTGCACGTTTGATTTCATATGCTCATTTCGCTGATAAATTGATGAAGTTGCGGTTGGTCGTGTGCGTTTCACGTTCTTCGAGTGGATCTGACGCGCGATTCGTCTGTACAACTGTTGTGTTTTGTATCAATAAAATGGTCGTTTCGTCTTCCAGGTTTCTCTCCTCCGAAGGAATTGCAGAATGTGAAAGGGCTTGCAACAAAGAGAAGCCATCTTTGCAGGAGCTGTCGAAGGCAGCCCTTAATGTGAGTATTGGAAAACGCGTCGAACGAAGAAATGTACATTGTGAAGCTGACGATGTATTTTTCTGCTCGCATGGTGATTTGATTGTTTTTCAATTGTCAAGTCCCGTACTGTACAATGCAGCCTTAAAACGTCGGATTTTACTTGTCGCAGAGGCTGTTGGCCACTGCTCATTAAATATGAACATTTTAAAGTTTAATGCACTTGAGAATCGGCTTGTGATGGGATATCCGACTATTATTTTGGTTTCTCTGAGTTGATTTCTTGATGAGGTTTATTTTCATCTCACACCTATCTTATGTGGAAACCGCACGATTCTTGGAACTTCAATTTACGTGTTTCAAGCGCATTTATTGAACAAAATTAGGAAGCGGCAGGGTAAAAAAGTGCAGGAAACTTCCCATCTGCCTTGCATTAAAGTTCTTGCATTGTACGATGTGGACAGTGATTCGATGAAAAGCTTGCTGTGGTCAGTAAGTGATAATTCATAGATAACATAAATGTTAGGTTTGAATCCCAGGTGTTAAGCCATTCAGAACTTCGTTTAAGCTTATATTTTTGTGGCCAAAATTTTATTGACTCTGCAAAATAGGTCTTGCCTCCTCAGTCATGTTGGAGAATGTTGAATAGGATTGAAATAAGCTGAGAGACTGTTAAGAAGCTTATTAAAAGATACTTTATTTTGGACATTTACAATGCCTAGAAATGTTGCACTTAAGGACAGGCAACAGCTGTTTGACTGTTGCATAACTGACAGCAGTAAAACACAGTCTGCCTTTCGGGGTTCACAGCCTAATAAGCTGTATTGTTACTTCTCCTGGGTGTGATGCTATTCCACCACAGACAACTACAGTGTTGTTGAGGTTGGGACAAAATATGTACATGGCTGCACAAAAATCTTTTACTTTCTAACTTGATGAAACCCTGAACTGCATCTAGTCAAATCAATCAATCAATCAATCAGTCAGTCAGTCAGTCAGTCAGTCAGTCAGTCAGTCAGTCAATCAATCAATCAATTAGGTGATCAATCAATCAATCAATCAATTAGTCAGCATGTCAAAACAGTATGTCTGTCAACGAAGGTCATCAACAAGTTCAAGAGACAATTTTACATGAAAGGGAGTTAAAAATAATTATCAGTTTGAAAACTATTTGACATTCATTACAAAGCCAGCACACAGAATTAACCTGACAAGGCTTAGATTAGGATGTCATGCATTATGAATACAAACTGGCAAATATGAAAATGTAGGAGCATTAATCCCAGCAGAAGAGCGAACATGTTTAGTATGCAAAGAAAATTGTATAGAATATGAACAGCATTTCTTGATGTACATTGTCATGGGTATACCACTATAAGACGTGAGCTGCATTCACATATTTTAAAAGCAGATGCTTGTTACACCAGTTTATGTGACAACAGGAAGACCAGGTATGTACTTAGAGCTAAAATAATGGGTAAATATATCCATTTAATGTTTCAAAAAAGAAAAGAGATTTTTAATTCGCAAATATAATAAGTGCTATGGGTTTTCCAATTAATTGTATACAGATATGGTAAATGTTATTTTGTATTTTTATTAGTTCATGTTCAAACCTTTATTGCAACTAGACCAATACCGTCCTTTGGAGAGTAAGGTGCAATAAAGATATAATATTACTATTACTATTAATCAATCAATCAGTCACTCAATGAATTAATTAGTAAAGTCAATCGATCAATTATTCAATCTCTTCTTTCTCCAGTTGGACCTCAAACAGTACGGCATGAAACATCTTCCTGATGATATTAACAGAGGCAAAGTACAAACAGTATGTATTAAATAATTTACTTTCTTATATCATTTGAAATATTTAGTACAAAAACTGTTGCTAAATGAAGAAAACTTTGACCTTAACAGTCAATTTGAATTTTATTTTTATTATTGATTTCCCAATGAAATTATAGCAGAGTCAGGTTACATTCTATGAATCATAGTAAATCTAGTGAACTGGAAGAAATAGCAATGAATGTCACTGAAGAGGCACAAGAGGCAAACATATATCACCATCTTCATCATTGTCTTCATGTCCTCTTCTCCATATGGAAAACGACAACAGACGTTGGGCTTCTCTAAGATTTAACATACTCATAGGCTACTAGACTTTTAATAGTATAGAGTATTTTTGACAAGATCTCTAATATTTATAGAGTACAGTCGAACCTCCCGTAAGCAACCACCCAAAAAATCAAGCCAAGGTGGTTGTTTACGAGAATTTAGACCATGTTGGGTCAAAATTTTGCCTCATTAGCATACAGTAACTTGAGAAACTTACCCCATGTTTTAAATGTTTCATTCATGTGAAAAGTCAATTTTGAGAAAAAATCCAGTACAACCCATGGAGAAATTTCCCTCTCCTGCACTACCCAGGAGTGTGATAATGTTGCAACACCTTGTTATCCAATTTTCACTCTATTGTCTGTCAAGTGGACACTTACAGGAGCTTAAAAACAAATTAAAAGATTAAATTAAACCTCTCATAAGCGGTCGCTTACGAGAGGTGGTCGCTCACAAAAGGTTCGAAATATAGTCATTTGACATGGAAACTTATGGTATTTTGGAAAACTGGTCACAGAGGAGAGGTGGTCGCCTACAAGAGGTGGTTGCAACCAGAGGTTCGACTGTATTTTTAATAAAAGCCATCCACCAGTTTAACTTCAGTATCAGTGAAATGAAACCTGGACTGGCGAACGTACCTCAAACTGGAACAGCAAAATCCAGGGAGATTTCTAAGATCCGGCACAGCCACTCTTAAAGATCCACTTGAGATAGGAACATTTCAACATAATGCCGGTGCAATATTCAATATATTGCCTTGTCGTTGCATGAAAGTACTAATTTTAACTATTTCAGGATGGAAGTACGAAAATTTCTAAGAAACAGAGCCAAAGCCCGACTGCACACATGATTTCATAATACTTATGTATTACACAGTTTTTATTTTTAATTCTATGCTCATAATTCAGTGGTTATCATTCAATTAATTAGTTTTACATGAATGTAAATAGAATATAATGTAGTATAATATAGTGGTTTTCCTTCTTATGGTATTAGTAAGGTAGTTAGTTTTACTTTCGGATGAAGAGCCATTTTATCTTTTGTGGAAATGCTGAAATAAAGTGCTGTCGTTATTATTATAATTATTATTATCATTATTATCATTGTTATTATTATTAATTATTATTATTTAAAAATAATACGACTTTGTTAATTTTCACAAAGTTTAACATGTTTTGACGGTACATCCGTCATCGTCAGTGTGACGGTTATGAAAGTTTACCGTGATTTGAAATGTGCCTGTTACAAATCATATGTTACATTGCGTTGGAAAACAATACGCTAGATAAATTTTGAAGTTAACGGAAATAAAAAGATGAGCGTGGGCGTGCAGCTATAGGGAAAGCGTCAAATTGATGTGTTTGACCTGTTGATTAAGGTCAGGCTTTTCCCACTTGATGTACATAGACTCCTTAAGCTTAACTTGGTACTTGGTAGGTGCAGAGTCTAAGATCTTGAAGCAGTCTAAGTTACAATTTTCTTGTGCAAGCTGTAATGCTTGTTACGTTGGTGAAACAAGCCGACATTTCTCCACGCGCGTGCACGAGCACTTGTCATCGGACAGATCTTCTCACGTTTATAAGCATTTGCAGGCTTCAGAGTCGTGCTGTACGTCTTGTAACTTAGACTGCTTCAAGATCTTAGACTCTGCACCTACCAAGTATCAAGTTAAGCTTAAGGAGTCTATGTACATCAAGTTGGAAAAGCCTGACCTTAATCAACAGGTCAAACACATCAATTTGACGCTTTCCCTATAACTGCACGCGCAAGCTCATCTTTTTATTTCCGTTAACTTCGAAATTTATCTAGCGTATTGTTTTCCAACGCAATGTAACGTATGATTTGTAACAGGCACGTTTCAAATCACTGTAAACTTTCATAACCATCACACTGACGATGACGGATGTACCGTCGAAACATATTATTTAAAACAAATTATTATTGTTATTGTTATTACTTTATTATTATTATTATTTTTTAAATTATTATAATTATTATAATTATTATTATTATTATTATTATTATCATTATTAACCAAGAACGTATACTTTACATCTATGTATTAATATTTATTTGTTGTCAACTGTCAATAGGTTAGTGGTCCCATGGTTCTTCAGGTACAAAAGCTTCGCAATGTCTCTGCTCCAAAAGCTAATGAAGAGTCAAACCACGCCCCAAGATTACTGAAGATACAGCTGACGGACGGACACCTCACATGCCATGGGTTGGAAAGTGCATCTATTCCAGACCTCAGGTCAAGAGAACAATAATATTTTCAATGGCCAATTTTTGATCATTGTTAAGATTTCTTGAAAATTGAACTCACCCCACAAACGTGAGTGATCAATTGCAGGTAATTTACAATGAAACTGATTTTGGTATCATATTCACAGCTTGTCAATACCTCCTGGGACCAAAGTGTGTTTAACTGGTACCATTACTGTACAGGAGAGTTTTCTTATGTTGGACTCTAACAATACAAGGGTTTTGGGAGGAGAAGTTGAGAAGTTAAAAGAAAAATGGGAGCTGAACAAGGTAATCAATTATTGGTTATCTCAATGTTATCCATTTTATCACTGATTTCCCACAATACAGCCGTTGAAATCAAAATTAATGTTGACTATGAAACATGCAAAAACTCCTGGAATTTCACATCTCTAAGTAGCACCCTGTTAGGGGTGGGGGAGAGGGAGAGGGCAGAAACTTAAATAAGCGGATTGCAAATGGTTGATTTCAATATTTTGGCCTATGTGGAATAAGAAACAGAGGATGTTCTACATACACAAGGCATTTGTTATGAAGTAAACAGTTTCCAAACTGTAGCCAAGGGTACTACATGTATCATTGACGATCTTAACAGACAGAACTGTATAAAAGGTGCAAAGTTTGATTATAAGTCAGAGTTGAAGAGTACAACAAAATTGTTGTAATTTTTTTTTTCACAGACTTTAGCTAAGCATTCTCGTTTGACTGTCAGTGGTGATGGGCCTCCTCCATTTGTTCCTTTTGGTCAAGGGATGCAGCCAGGGAGTGAGAATAAAGGAAGATCTACAGAGAACCCTAAAGGTTGGAAAATGTTCAGTTAACATTCTCTGTTTATTAAACTGTATGTGATTCTCTGGGACAGGATTTCAACTAAAAGAAAGTTGATGATGGATTAAGGGGAAAAAAAAGAGACACCAAGGCTGTGGTCTGAGAAAAATAACCAGGAGCCCAAAGGTTCCTACTGTAAGTATGAAATCTTGGGTGCCCAGCGCTTAAGCTGAAAAAAATAAGTTTTTTGGACATCGCCCAAAGGCAAAAGTTAGTTGCCTGCTAGCACCTACAATGGGCGACAAAAGTAGTTGAGACACTTTTAGGAAATGACACTTTTCGATATTTAAGCACATGTTCTTTATTATTTGCATCTAGCATTAATTCTCTGATACCCCCAGCCCCCCAATTCATTGTTGTGTAGGCATTGTTGTCTGTGCAGTCTAAGAAATAGAAAAATCAACATTCTTTAGGGGGAGGGGGGAAAATGTGTTTAAGGTGCTCAAAAATCGAATTTTACTGCCAAGTGTCTCAACACTTTTGTCGCCCATCATTGGCACTCAAAACTGAACTATAGAGCACAGCCCTGAGACAGTGTGCTTTAGCAAAGTGAACAAGCTTATGACCATGAAACAAGTTTTATTCTTACCAGGATTAGACTGATATCAACTGGTCTTAAGACAAAGGTGTGATTGAAACCATTGGACAGGCATTTAAAAGTTTCCACAGAATGATTTTCTGTAGATGTTAAATTCAATAACACCCTTGAGAGGTGCAGTGGCCCAATGGATTGTTTGCTGGCCTCTAGATTGAGCTGTTTGGTTTGAACCTAGGCATGCTGCTCTCACAGTGCCTTTTAGCATGTCACTCAGTTGCATGAAATGGGTATTGAGAAGTTTATGGCTTGGGATAACCCTATCATGGACTAGCAACCTATACAGGGGGGACAGGGGGGGGGGGGGTAGAAGAAATACCCCTGAAAAGAGCTGCTTCACGCAACTTAAAACTTAAATGCATCTTAAACCATTGTGTTACCATTGATATTGACATCATTGCATTGTTATTCAATTATTTTTGCAGTGAATGGTGTGGTACAAAACAGTACAGAGAAACCTAAAAGTTCTCAGAGCAGGGAGGCAAATGGTCCTCCACTGAAATCCAGAACTGACAATGGACGAAGCAACAGGCCTGCTAATCAAGAACAGAAAGACAGTATGGTAAAGAAATTTCCAAACCATCAAAGGGATGAAAGAACAGAGAGCAAAAGGGTGAATACTGAGAAAACAAATAATAGACATACTGGTGAGGGGCGAACAAGTTTGAATAACCCAAGAGAAAAGGAGAGTAGACCATTTAATTCAGAATCAGTGAATCATGACAGGCCAAGACAAGAAAACCTCGCTGACGATGACAGACAGAACAGCAGAACAGAACGGAGTGAGAGGGCAGAAAGACCAACACCAAAAGGACAACCCTTGCGGACTCAGGCAAGTTTATTGTTTGAAAGTGTCACACTTATCGTGGAGAGATCGTCACTCTGTAGGACTGGCAAAAATAGAAATTGCAAGTAAAAAATATAATTATGGCAATACATGCTAATTAACAATCAGTGTTACAAGATTTCTATGTACTACCCAGAGATTTCTTTCCCCCCAAATGCTCAGTTAAAGCCTTGTTTGTCACTTTTTGTGATCACAAGGAAGAGGAGAGCTACAGAAAACTTGTCATCAGTCTCCTGGAGTACCAATGTTTGGAGACATTTTTCCCACATTTTTTGCACTCTAGTACTGACTGGAACTGTATGATCATGAAGAGATTCTGGACTGAATGACTCCCAAGGGTGTTTGCAAACAACTTCCTTATGATTCTTGAACATTTCTTTCTGTAGGATACAAACAGGGGAGGCGCAAGGGTGCGAGGTCGTGGAGGAAGACGTGAACCACTTGGTAAGTGCCAATTGACATGTAGCTGTTGGTAATTAGTTAGTTTTGTTCACTAGGATATTAGTGAAGGAATTTAGTTGCAAACAAATAATTGTACTGAGTTGGGGGGCCAAGAATATGTACCTCACTTTAAATTAACGGGCAATAGAAGTTTGTAGTCTCACAAATTGCACTTACCAAGTACAGCATTTTTTTTGAACAAACAAAACTTTTCATTGCTAGAAAATGTTAGTGGTGAACATAGTTGTGTAACTGAAGTCTGAAAGTCTTGACTTTTTTCTTGTGTTGTGTGAACAGGAAGAGGAAAACCTGAGAGTGATGCCACTGATGATGTTGAAGACTACAGAATCAGGCAACCATCAGAGCCAGCTTTATGGGACTTTCTCTCGACAAAATTTCCAGCAGTAAAAGGTTGGTTGCTTTTCACTTTGAAATCCTCATAGAAGCGTGCCAGTGGATTCCACTTGAAAAATGAAATTTTGGCTGTAGACAGCTAACACTAACTGAACAAAAAAGGATGCTTTGATTGTTAAGCTCAAAACTTTTGCTTGCAGATACAAAATATCAGAGACCACCAAAGTCAACAGAAAACCATAAAACTGATGAAGCCCAACATGAAAGACCTCCACCTAGACCACCACCCTTGAAGCAAGATGACGTGCAAAAGCCAAAGCAGCATAAGCAGGATTCTAGAGCTGAGAAATCTGAGAATATTTCTCCCCCAAGACAACAGCAAGGTGATGCACAGGGCGACTATGCCACACCAAGAGAGGTTGAGAAACCAAAACCGGAAATGACATTACAGCACCGAGATGGAAGACAGCAATCCAAACAACCAAGGGAACAGTATTATAAACAACAGCAGAACCCCGGGCAGATGAAGGGAAAAGGTTCTAGAAGGCATGATCATGATTCTAGACCATACAATCAGAGTTTACCACCAAGGCTTCAGAAGAAACAACAACAGCAGCAACAGCAACGCCAACAGCACCAGCAGCAACACCATCATCATCAGCATTATCAACATCACAGTCAGCAGCAGGGTACAGAGGTGAGCAATGACGAGGGTGAAACTGAATATTCCACTGCAGCAAGTCCACCGTCTGTAGCTCAGGAAGATGATGCTATTGTGAGATTTAGTGCGGCATCAGTTGGCCATGAGTATGCAGAGGAACAAGCTCCAAGCCAAATTCCGCAGCCTTTACAGTTTCAGGAGCCTCAGGGGAGTTCATACACTGGTCAGCAGTATGCCACACAGGGTAAGTGGCAGAAAAACTACCGCCAAGGATCCGACCAGTTTAGACCTCAAAGCCTTACACCTCCTAATGTACAACAACAACAGCAGCAGCACCTTGAGTTTGTTACCATGGCTATGGAATCCCAGCGTGCACAGACACAATTTGTTGTCAGTCAGCCTCAACAGTTCGTGGAACGAGGAGGGAGAGAGCAGTCAGAGATGAGCATGCCACAGGAATACCAGTATACACAGGCCCAACCCCCAGTCCAGGCATATCCTGTGTATCAACTCCGCCCTGCTCAAATGGCACAACAACCAATGGCTCCTCAGCCAACTATACCTCAGCAGCCAGTAGCCACACAGATGCCAGCAGCACAGGTAATTATTGTCCTTAAATGTGGCTAAATGTCATTTAGGCGAAGTTAAAATCGAGACAATGCAGACAGCAGTCTTCTTCATGGTGGCTCACTTCAGCTGCAGGGGAGCCCAGTAATTGGCAGGGCCTAACCTTTGCACAGTTCTAGTTTCTGAGATTCAGTGTGCATTCACTCGTGTTAGCATTTGCAAAGCCTTCAGGCACCAACCCCCAATCTCATCTATATTTGGTTGGAAGTTCATGTTGTGAAATATTTCCTTGTTCTGGTTCCTGTGAACATGACAGGATATGAAGCTTAGACCATCCATGAGTGTTTCTTTGCATCAGGCCAAGAGCTCCATACCTCCAAATCTTAACCAGATTACTATAGCATGAAGCAACTTGGAGTATTTCTACTCCCCCCTGGATGGGATGCTAGTCCATTGGAGGATAATCCCTCAGAATTCATTTCTTAGTTACCGGCATTTATACACTTGGGTGGAGAGCGGCACTGTGTGGGTAGAATGTCTTGCCCAAGAACACAAAGCAATGACCCTGGCCAGGGTTCGAACCCAGATCACTAAATCCAGAGTCTGGGACGCTAAGCATTAGGCCACCTCTCGTCCCTCCCACTTCTTTATTGTCAGCGAGGGCATCTCAAAGTCAAGTGCTGATCTGCATTTGTATAGATGCCACATTTTCTCTTGTGTGTTGTATGGCTCCATGCCAGAGTGTAATGCCTGGAGAATCCTAAATCAGTAACTGATTTTATTTAAATATTAATTTCCTTTTTAGGTGGGATGGAAAAAAGGTGACCACTGTTTGGCTCCATGGAGGGATGGACAGGTAGTTAGAAATTTAAAATATTAATTCTCCTAACTCACTACCATACATTAATGTTACTGTTAGGTGTGAGAATCTACTGGTACATCAGGACAAAAAATATTCTGTCAGGAGGATAGTAATATGCCTCACAGTCATGCCATACTACAATGGTTTAGGGTATTCTCAGACTGGTGGGTTGTGCTTTTCCAGGGTTTTGCATGGAAATATAATTATGTTAAGGCACTGTAAGTGTGGGCATCAAAGTTTATGGTGTCTAATCATTATTTTTGTTTTTTTGCTGCAGTTTTACAGTGCCAAGATGGAGGAGCTAGTGGCTGATGGTGTACATTGCATGGTTTCTTTCCTGGATTTTCACAATAGTTGTGATATTGTGCCTCTCTCATCTCTAAGGCCTTTTCCAATTATTGCCTGGGTGAGTATGGAGTAACAAGCCAATTCCTTGTCCACTTTTGAGTTCACTGTAAGCTGTCTGTTACCAGCAGATGTTGTACAATGTAGACATTTGCACACTATCAAACCTCTGCTGCTGCTGCTGTTGGCTCCGTGGCAGTCATTTTAATCAAACTGGTTTTTACTTGGTTAGGTTGTGGGGTGTGCATGGTAAGAGCAACTAATTTTTAACCTTGTTTAGTTAAACCACTTTTAAACTTGTTTAACATGGTGGTGTGAACAGGGTATAAGACAACTCTTTAGGTCTTTAGGCCTGCCTTGAAAATTATCTCAAGAGTTTCTGCAAGCCTCACTGTACTGATTGGGAAATATTTTTTCCGTCTCCCAGGGAGAAAGTGGTAGTGCCCAGCCTCAGCCTGCTGGTGCTGTTGCTACAGTGCCTTATTATGCACAGCCTCCTCCCGTTGGTATGGTGGCCAGACCCCAGGTTGTCATCCCTGTGACTGGGCAGCCTCCTTTCCATGCTGTGACAAGGCCTACCATTGTTCATTCTACCCCAGTTCCCACTCAAGTACATTGGCAGCCAGCTCAGGTCCAGTACCAGGAAGTAAGACCAGCAGCTTTCCAGCCTGTAGTGCACTATGGAGCTGTACCACAGACATCCTCAGGGGGCCCTACTCAGGCAGCATATGGAGTACCCACTGGTGCTGGGGTACACTATGCTAGGGGTGTGAAGGATACCCAAGTACAAGGTAGGGAACCTCAGATTGAAGTACCTGGAAAACTCCTGAAACTGTAGAATTTTCCAGTGTTCAGGAAAATATCGCAGAAGAAGTTAATGTTCATAATGTTTGGGAATTTCTCTTACCGTGCCTTGCAATAACATGCTGACTCTAAAATTCAAAGCTCAACTGACAAATGCGTTTTTTGCTACCGTCAACCAAATGTCCGGCGGCTCCTTCCAGCTTCTGACTACTGCTGAGCACTGTTTCGTTGTCTGAACTGTGCTCAACGATTTGATTACCGCCTGTCGGCGTAGTCGGAAGCTGGGAGGAGCTGCCGAACATTTGATTGACGATAGCGAAAAACGCATTTGTTGGTTGAGCTTTGAATTTTAGAGTCTGCATGTCATCGAAAAGCACAGTAACTGATTGTGCTGTAATTTCTTCTAACACAAGTTCATAAAATTTGCAAGTGCATGATTCACATTCTGGTAATATAATTTGCTAAGTTCATTGAAATAATTTGCTTTTTAAGGCATTTTTGTTAGCTTTATAAGTTGTACTAGTTGTACTTATCGGTAAGTGCCAACGAGTGAATTGAGTTAGTAAACAAGAGTCGATTGAATTTTGTAATATTTGTTTGGGATACTTCTAGCATAACAGGTGTCAATTTCTTTTAGTTAATGTTTCAAATTATCACTGTAATTGAACACAATATTGTTTATTTTTCAACTCAGTGAGCGATCAAAACACTAAACACTTTTTTTTGTATTTTTAAAAATCATACTTGTTATACTGAACCAGTATAACAGGTGTTAAAATCAATTTCTTTTCCCTCGTTGGGTTACTATTTTGGTTAGTACTTAAGTTGATTCAATCGCAACAAATCCAAGTTACATTCACCTTCAAAAATCAGAATGTCAGACAAACTACTTACCAAAATAATTTGTCAAATGGAAGGCGAACAAATCCTGAGCGTTACCCTGAATCAAATAAACAACACTCGAATTCATTCCAGAAAACAACTCAGGTCTTGTTGAGCTTTAACAATTGTACGATTCAATCACAACAAACCCAAGATGTATACGCCTGAAAAAGCGGAATGGTAGGCAAAATAATTCCGCACGCAGCAGAGCTGAACAAATATCGAAACCTTCTAACGTCACAAAGAAAAATAGTGTTCTGATTGGTTCGTGCGATATATCGACAACATCCGGCTACATCCTAATATGGCCAAAAAAATATCACTGACGGAACCGGATTACGCGAAAATCGAGCTGAAAGATCTGAGATTTTTTCTGCATAGCCATCAAACTACNAGGGTGTTTGCAAACAACTTCCTTATGATTCTTGAACATTTCTTTCTGTAGGATACAAACAGGGGAGGCGCAAGGGTGCGAGGTCGTGGAGGAAGACGTGAACCACTTGGTAAGTGCCAATTGACATGTAGCTGTTGGTAATTAGTTAGTTTTGTTCACTAGGATATTAGTGAAGGAATTTAGTTGCAAACAAATAATTGTACTGAGTTGGGGGGCCAAGAATATGTACCTCACTTTAAATTAACGGGCAATAGAAGTTTGTAGTCTCACAAATTGCACTTACCAAGTACAGCATTTTTTTTGAACAAACAAAACTTTTCATTGCTAGAAAATGTTAGTGGTGAACATAGTTGTGTAACTGAAGTCTGAAAGTCTTGACTTTTTTCTTGTGTTGTGTGAACAGGAAGAGGAAAACCTGAGAGTGATGCCACTGATGATGTTGAAGACTACAGAATCAGGCAACCATCAGAGCCAGCTTTATGGGACTTTCTCTCGACAAAATTTCCAGCAGTAAAAGGTTGGTTGCTTTTCACTTTGAAATCCTCATAGAAGCGTGCCAGTGGATTCCACTTGAAAAATGAAATTTTGGCTGTAGACAGCTAACACTAACTGAACAAAAAAGGATGCTTTGATTGTTAAGCTCAAAACTTTTGCTTGCAGATACAAAATATCAGAGACCACCAAAGTCAACAGAAAACCATAAAACTGATGAAGCCCAACATGAAAGACCTCCACCTAGACCACCACCCTTGAAGCAAGATGACGTGCAAAAGCCAAAGCAGCATAAGCAGGATTCTAGAGCTGAGAAATCTGAGAATATTTCTCCCCCAAGACAACAGCAAGGTGATGCACAGGGCGACTATGCCACACCAAGAGAGGTTGAGAAACCAAAACCGGAAATGACATTACAGCACCGAGATGGAAGACAGCAATCCAAACAACCAAGGGAACAGTATTATAAACAACAGCAGAACCCCGGGCAGATGAAGGGAAAAGGTTCTAGAAGGCATGATCATGATTCTAGACCATACAATCAGAGTTTACCACCAAGGCTTCAGAAGAAACAACAACAGCAGCAACAGCAACGCCAACAGCACCAGCAGCAACACCATCATCATCAGCATTATCAACATCACAGTCAGCAGCAGGGTACAGAGGTGAGCAATGACGAGGGTGAAACTGAATATTCCACTGCAGCAAGTCCACCGTCTGTAGCTCAGGAAGATGATGCTATTGTGAGATTTAGTGCGGCATCAGTTGGCCATGAGTATGCAGAGGAACAAGCTCCAAGCCAAATTCCGCAGCCTTTACAGTTTCAGGAGCCTCAGGGGAGTTCATACACTGGTCAGCAGTATGCCACACAGGGTAAGTGGCAGAAAAACTACCGCCAAGGATCCGACCAGTTTAGACCTCAAAGCCTTACACCTCCTAATGTACAACAACAACAGCAGCAGCACCTTGAGTTTGTTACCATGGCTATGGAATCCCAGCGTGCACAGACACAATTTGTTGTCAGTCAGCCTCAACAGTTCGTGGAACGAGGAGGGAGAGAGCAGTCAGAGATGAGCATGCCACAGGAATACCAGTATACACAGGCCCAACCCCCAGTCCAGGCATATCCTGTGTATCAACTCCGCCCTGCTCAAATGGCACAACAACCAATGGCTCCTCAGCCAACTATACCTCAGCAGCCAGTAGCCACACAGATGCCAGCAGCACAGGTAATTATTGTCCTTAAATGTGGCTAAATGTCATTTAGGCGAAGTTAAAATCGAGACAATGCAGACAGCAGTCTTCTTCATGGTGGCTCACTTCAGCTGCAGGGGAGCCCAGTAATTGGCAGGGCCTAACCTTTGCACAGTTCTAGTTTCTGAGATTCAGTGTGCATTCACTCGTGTTAGCATTTGCAAAGCCTTCAGGCACCAACCCCCAATCTCATCTATATTTGGTTGGAAGTTCATGTTGTGAAATATTTCCTTGTTCTGGTTCCTGTGAACATGACAGGATATGAAGCTTAGACCATCCATGAGTGTTTCTTTGCATCAGGCCAAGAGCTCCATACCTCCAAATCTTAACCAGATTACTATAGCATGAAGCAACTTGGAGTATTTCTACTCCCCCCTGGATGGGATGCTAGTCCATTGGAGGATAATCCCTCAGAATTCATTTCTTAGTTACCGGCATTTATACACTTGGGTGGAGAGCGGCACTGTGTGGGTAGAATGTCTTGCCCAAGAACACAAAGCAATGACCCTGGCCAGGGTTCGAACCCAGATCACTAAATCCAGAGTCTGGGACGCTAAGCATTAGGCCACCTCTCGTCCCTCCCACTTCTTTATTGTCAGCGAGGGCATCTCAAAGTCAAGTGCTGATCTGCATTTGTATAGATGCCACATTTTCTCTTGTGTGTTGTATGGCTCCATGCCAGAGTGTAATGCCTGGAGAATCCTAAATCAGTAACTGATTTTATTTAAATATTAATTTCCTTTTTAGGTGGGATGGAAAAAAGGTGACCACTGTTTGGCTCCATGGAGGGATGGACAGGTAGTTAGAAATTTAAAATATTAATTCTCCTAACTCACTACCATACATTAATGTTACTGTTAGGTGTGAGAATCTACTGGTACATCAGGACAAAAAATATTCTGTCAGGAGGATAGTAATATGCCTCACAGTCATGCCATACTACAATGGTTTAGGGTATTCTCAGACTGGTGGGTTGTGCTTTTCCAGGGTTTTGCATGGAAATATAATTATGTTAAGGCACTGTAAGTGTGGGCATCAAAGTTTATGGTGTCTAATCATTATTTTTGTTTTTTTGCTGCAGTTTTACAGTGCCAAGATGGAGGAGCTAGTGGCTGATGGTGTACATTGCATGGTTTCTTTCCTGGATTTTCACAATAGTTGTGATATTGTGCCTCTCTCATCTCTAAGGCCTTTTCCAATTATTGCCTGGGTGAGTATGGAGTAACAAGCCAATTCCTTGTCCACTTTTGAGTTCACTGTAAGCTGTCTGTTACCAGCAGATGTTGTACAATGTAGACATTTGCACACTATCAAACCTCTGCTGCTGCTGCTGTTGGCTCCGTGGCAGTCATTTTAATCAAACTGGTTTTTACTTGGTTAGGTTGTGGGGTGTGCATGGTAAGAGCAACTAATTTTTAACCTTGTTTAGTTAAACCACTTTTAAACTTGTTTAACATGGTGGTGTGAACAGGGTATAAGACAACTCTTTAGGTCTTTAGGCCTGCCTTGAAAATTATCTCAAGAGTTTCTGCAAGCCTCACTGTACTGATTGGGAAATATTTTTTCCGTCTCCCAGGGAGAAAGTGGTAGTGCCCAGCCTCAGCCTGCTGGTGCTGTTGCTACAGTGCCTTATTATGCACAGCCTCCTCCCGTTGGTATGGTGGCCAGACCCCAGGTTGTCATCCCTGTGACTGGGCAGCCTCCTTTCCATGCTGTGACAAGGCCTACCATTGTTCATTCTACCCCAGTTCCCACTCAAGTACATTGGCAGCCAGCTCAGGTCCAGTACCAGGAAGTAAGACCAGCAGCTTTCCAGCCTGTAGTGCACTATGGAGCTGTACCACAGACATCCTCAGGGGGCCCTACTCAGGCAGCATATGGAGTACCCACTGGTGCTGGGGTACACTATGCTAGGGGTGTGAAGGATACCCAAGTACAAGGTAGGGAACCTCAGATTGAAGTACCTGGAAAACTCCTGAAACTGTAGAATTTTCCAGTGTTCAGGAAAATATCGCAGAAGAAGTTAATGTTCATAATGTTTGGGAATTTCTCTTACCGTGCCTTGCAATAACATGCTGACTCTAAAATTCAAAGCTCAACTGACAAATGCGTTTTTTGCTACCGTCAACCAAATGTCCGGCGGCTCCTTCCAGCTTCTGACTACTGCTGAGCACTGTTTCGTTGTCTGAACTGTGCTCAACGATTTGATTACCGCCTGTCGGCGTAGTCGGAAGCTGGGAGGAGCTGCCGAACATTTGATTGACGATAGCGAAAAACGCATTTGTTGGTTGAGCTTTGAATTTTAGAGTCTGCATGTCATCGAAAAGCACAGTAACTGATTGTGCTGTAATTTCTTCTAACACAAGTTCATAAAATTTGCAAGTGCATGATTCACATTCTGGTAATATAATTTGCTAAGTTCATTGAAATAATTTGCTTTTTAAGGCATTTTTGTTAGCTTTATAAGTTGTACTAGTTGTACTTATCGGTAAGTGCCAACGAGTGAATTGAGTTAGTAAACAAGAGTCGATTGAATTTTGTAATATTTGTTTGGGATACTTCTAGCATAACAGGTGTCAATTTCTTTTAGTTAATGTTTCAAATTATCACTGTAATTGAACACAATATTGTTTATTTTTCAACTCAGTGAGCGATCAAAACACTAAACACTTTTTTTTGTATTTTTAAAAATCATACTTGTTATACTGAACCAGTATAACAGGTGTTAAAATCAATTTCTTTTCCCTCGTTGGGTTACTATTTTGGTTAGTACTTAAGTTGATTCAATCGCAACAAATCCAAGTTACATTCACCTTCAAAAATCAGAATGTCAGACAAACTACTTACCAAAATAATTTGTCAAATGGAAGGCGAACAAATCCTGAGCGTTACCCTGAATCAAATAAACAACACTCGAATTCATTCCAGAAAACAACTCAGGTCTTGTTGAGCTTTAACAATTGTACGATTCAATCACAACAAATCCAAGATGTATATGCCTCAAAAAGCAGACTGGTAGGCAAATCACTTAAATACTTACCAAAATAATCGCCCAATGAGGTTCCACACCCAGGAGAGCTGAACAAATATGGAAGCCTCGTGACATCACAAAGAAAAATAGTGTTCTGATTGGTTCGTGTGATATGTCGACAACATCCGGCTACATCCTAATGTGGCCAAAAAATATCACTGACGGAACGGGATTACGTGAAAATCGAGCTGAAAGATCTGAGATTTTTTCTGCATAGCCATCAAACTATGCACGGCTCTATATCCTGCCACCTCAACAGGCTTGCATTTTCGTTCACCTATCTCATTGGCAATAATTATAACTGGGTTATTGGTTCAGTAAAGGATTTATTTTATGGGGAAATTTTTTTATGGGGATATTTTTTGGGTGGGACACAGCACGTAATCCTGTGCGGGTAAGTTAGCACCATCTTGCCCACTGGGGTAGCCAATCACAGCCCAGTATTTGGGTCATCTTGCCCACTCACAGAGCTAGCCGTATAATGATAAGTCTTAATCACAGTGTTTGTTTTCAGATGTCTACAGTAAGAGTCCTGAAGGAGGCAGAGGAAGATCAAGTCCAAATTCCAGTGGTTATTCCAAACCAAGAAGACCTAACAGAGCAACACAAAGTTATTATGTGCCACCAAGACAGGCAAAATTCAAAGACAAAGGCTAGTTAAAAAAGTTATTTTAACTGGAAAGTATAGTTCTGTTAAATATTAGAATTATATATCATAATCATTATATCAATAATTAATAGAAAATATGCAGTATAAGATTTGCTTTACCTGGTTGATGTATTATTGCTTAAAGGGGCACCCCACTGTCATCTTTTTGAAGTGTGACTGATCCAGGATTCTTTTCACTGGAACAAAACCCACAGTTAAAGTTTGTAATCCAGTTTAATATGAAGATACCAACTTTTCGGTGTAATTTTCATTTTCAGGTATTTTTTCACCAAACGTAATAACTGTACATTCTGATTTTTGAGGTGTCCTTCAGTTTTGAGGTAATTTTGAATACTCTGTAGAGCAATGGACTCTTTAGAAGACATTTTTCACCTGCTCAGAGTTCGTGTTTACATGGCAGGGCTCATACAACAGAGATCATGGAATTCCATGAGTTTTCAGGGTACAAATATGACATTCCAGGAGCTAGAACTGAAAAAAATGTGTGGTGTAAATGTTTAAAAAATCATATTATTATGCTTTTTGTGCAACTGACTGTGTTTGTAAAAAGATTGCGAACCTTCAATTCTTAAAACACAATTTGAGAATTCCAGATACTCTCTACCAGTAGGTTGATAGGACCCAGGAAGAAAATTTTAAAATCCTAGAAATCTTCCTACACCGGCATAACAGCACAACACATTTTATGGTTCAGCTGGGTAAAGCAAGTCTTTTATAGCAGCATTGTTGTTGGTCAGCACAAAAAAATAAATGTGATGCTAAGACTCTAGGTTCATTTACATGTAGCAAGCTAACTTTCTGATTGGCTTACAGAAAACAAATTATTGAAAGACCTGAAAGGGTTTCCTAGCTTGTAAATGAGATACAAATAGCATTGCAGAGTAGAATGATAATTATTAACATCTAACATTTTTATTTCCAAAATGAGATGTGATTAAAGAAAAAAATTAATGGTCCGACAAGTGAACTTCACATTGAATGTTACTCAAGAACACCGATTTTCTTAGAGACTTCCAAAAGATAGATTGAATAAAACAAAGTAAATTACTATTATCATAATATGATCATGAAGATAGCAAGTCATGGAATTAAGCAAAACATGTATTGAAAGGTTTCAGTTTTAAACCCTTTAAGCCCCAAACATCATCATCATCATTATAAGCTCATGCAAAATCCTTACCAAGTTGTTTAAGACCAGGGTAGCCTGTGTTACAGCTGCCCCACCCCCCACCCCCGTGAAATAAAAAAAATCATGGAGTGTCTAAATGTTACCGTTGATAATCAGGTTCAAGGCCATGTGGTTTATCCAGGAATTTGTCCAAAATGATGCGATTGGTTGATCTAACTCTTAGTGACTGAGATTTAGAATTTTGAAGTTTACAAGTTGGACTGATTAACTAACTAAAGGTAATCAGCATATTTTAATGAAGATAATGTTATTTTGCAAGTGGTCTGTTTTTCATCGGTGAACTTTCAAAGGTCATTAGCTGTCTCATGCAAAGGTCTCACATGCACAGGGTAAGTTCCTTTGTGGTGTCAGTCTGTCACATCAGTTGTTGTGACACTGAAATGATTTTAATGCATGGACAGTTTATGCAAGGAACAGGATTATAAATGGAAACACACAAGTGATTTCTCCAATTTTTTCTTTTGGGGAGGCAGCTGGAACCCAGGTTAGCCCAGGGCTTACAACACGGCATTTTTAAAACTGTAATTATTTGTAAGAATTTGTATGTCGATTTGGGGAAAATTCTCTTTTCTCCGGGGATAAACTGTAAAGCATCTGTTTTGTCAAGTCTTATTTTGCCCAGTTATTCCATGTATAACTACTACTATATCATTACTACAACAAATGTAGCAAAAGCCTTTTGAAAAAATGTCAACGTATTTTAATTATTTACATTTTTTTAAATGTATTGTTACTTTTATTTTTGTTCTCAAGACTTGTGAGTCTTGCAGTTGCACAATATTCCTCTTTCTAATATTTATATTTATTTGCTGAGAAAAAGGCAGTCTATATTTCCTCACAGATAAAGACAGTTTGATCAAAAAACCTGCTGAAAATAAAAATTAACTGCTTTTTAAAAGGGGCTATCCATTGCCGGAGTTCAAATTTGAGTTCAAGTTTCAAATTAAAATCCTTATGTGGAGTTATGATTTTAATATTAACCTCCAGATCATTTCAGTCTCATTACCACTCTTGTTAGCCTGAAAATTCTAAACTTCCAGTTTTAGTTAAGGGTAACCCTATATGAGAGTTTATGTTATACATTTGTGTGACTATTTCAGTGAAAATAAAACGTAAAACTGTCTGAAAAAGACAGCCTTAAGAAACGTCAAAACATAACTCAGACTCAAAATTCTAGATTGGCCTGGAAACTTGAACTCAAATTCTAACTCTTACTAAAATTTAATACATCCTTGATAAAATCAGTTAACTAGAGAAAATTTGAAATCACACAAAGGATTGAAATTCAATCTGTTTAGTAGATATTTGCTGTGGTCAATTGCATAAGTGTCATGTCAGGTGATTTGTTAGTTCGACTTCTAATATGTGCTTGTGTATTTCATTTATTAGCAAACCCCATTCTAATAATTTTTACGTTTTCTGGAATTTTTTTAATGTAAAAAACTTCTGTGATAACATAGCTTGATGTGCTACTGTTTTCTTTTGTATCCAAACTATGGACCATGGCAAGTATCTTCGCTAAATAATATTAATAATTATTATTAATAATAACAATTTCCTGGAACTTATTGAATAATTGAGTCGGTATCTTCTTGTTTCATCAAGTATACTAAATATTTCTTCAGACATGTATATCTTGTAGGTATACTTTTCTCATCAACTGTTTATAAGTTATTGTTTACTGGTCTTCAACAAGTTTGTTAACGCTGAATAATAAAAAAAGAAAAACAGCAAAATATCAGACTTTTTTAGTGCTCTTTACCTTCTCATGGAAACGTTTACCCCCTGAGAATGGTGACACTTAACAGTATGCTCACCATTAAATTTGATTTAATTGCTTTTAAAACTCTGACAAAATATAATCTGAATAATTATTTAATATAAAACAGTTTTTCTGGTACAGTCAAACCTCTATTATCTGGACTCGTTGGGACTAGACAAAATAGTCCAGATAATTGAAAATATGAATATTACTGAAGAACATAACTGTTTAAATAAAGCAACATATAATTATTGTAAAACAACACTTTTATAAATCGCTTGGAAAACAATATGCTCTTATGTACATCTTGAACCTCTCAACTCTGAGCCATTCAGAACTCATTTGAGTATTCTTCATTAGTTACGACGCGTGCTCTTTAAAAGCAAAACAAACTCGCTTTTGACTTCACTTTTCAATGCAAGAGTTTTAAAAAGAACATTACTACCGATCATGATCATGACTAGTAAATATTCATGACAAAATTTGGGACTAGAGAAAAAGTCCAGATAATCGAGGTACGGATAATCGAGGTTCGACTGTATGTAACAAAAAAAGTTTTACAAGAAACTGCTATATTGTGGGAGCCAAAATTGCACATTATTTTAATTCAAACAACTTCATTTAATTCAAACATTGTCAGTGACAAATGTGGAATCAAACACTCTGTACAACACCTTTCCACAATCTTGGTTTGCATTAGGGAAATATGACAAAATACAAAGTTCTAGCCATGGCCTCTTGTTGCCCCCTGGATCTTGGTTAACAAATTCAATGGAATTCTCTGGATTCTGTGTCATAGATATCATCCACTCGCATACAGTTTCCTGAAGATCAGGTTGGCCTAAGAAATCTTCAGGTGATGGAAGTTCAGGAAAGAAGCTAACGACATCCTTGTCGAAGACCATTGCATGAAGAAGGCCAGATTCATCCTCGAGAACAAAGGAAAACAAATACACAATGCTTGTCTCTTGGTGACACTGGGGGCACAACACAGGGGCAGATAAATCTACCGCACTCCAAGAACTCTTTGCAAGTAAGTATTTGCAAGACTGACATGATCTTTGTATGAATTTCTTCACATCAGATGGCAAATACACTACTGCTTTAACCCTGCAGCGGAACTTGTAAGGTACGGTAGAACATGCCTTGATGTCCTTTAAAGAAGTGAAAGGAATGCAGGGATGTTCAGTTATGGTGCATGATGTTTGAAGAGCACGGTTGACTTCTTTTGTGACCACATGGTTTTGATGGCCTTCATCTACAGCATTGCAACTCTCTCCCGGTATAACACCAGCTGTTGAAGATCTGTTATCAGTATCCATGCCTTTACTCTCCATTACATGGGACTGTACTTCTTGTTGCCACACCAAAGGTTCTGCTTCTGAGATTAACTTCACTGTTGTGCTTAAAGAAACCACAGGATCACTTGGTGACAGGAGTTCTACACCTCGCCCGCATATTGTACCTCTGTGAACTATCAGGCTTACTTGAGGACGTGATTGCACTGACTGAAATAAAGAGTGAGATGTACAAATAAAGTATAATTTTTAATAAGTGGTTCCTACTAAAAATTATGTTTGCCAAGACAGCTTGGCAATGCTTGAGGATACCCTACAATAGAGTAGACTAGCATCCTACGCAGGGCAGGGGGGTAGGTAGGGGATTACAATAAATCAGTAATACATATTAATAGCCACTTGATGCCATGATCAAAATAGAACCTGGAGTTCTTCTGGCAAAACACCAAACACTGAGTACCCTTAGATCTAGATTGGTTTCCATCTATCATTTGTTACACATTCTAACACAAAAGCATTAAAATTACCCAAATACATGACACTTTGATCAGACAGAACATGGCAGAATAATATTGAAAAACATATTAAACATGCATAATGTAGGTATGGTATAATTCCAGCTTTAATTTTACTGTACTGGTGGCTTTTAGTGTTGCTCTCTAGTTGAATTAAAATAAAACATTTACATCACCTTAGGTTCATCTGCTCTCAAACTGGAATTGTTATTCTCTTCCTTAAGATGAACATTTCTAATACAAACAAAGTCACCAGGACAGACATTTTTCACATCACCCTCCATGTGGTCGTCATAAAGAAACACCTCCACACATCTGTTAGCAGACTTTTTCACAAGCTCATCAGAGGTTAGCTGCCCCTGTTCATCAATTGGTTCAACCTGAATTGACTGACAGGCAGGAAGTGATCCATCCCATAATGTCAGTACAATGCCATTGCTTGACATGGTGTAACATTTTGACACAACTTGGCAATGCAGGTTTATAAATGTTTGGCTTATACTTAGATCTTTTAAGTTAGTAATGGCAAATTTTTTGTTGAGAGATTCCTTTTGTGAAGCCCACAATTTTAACTCTTCAATGATATCTTTTTCGTGGTCTGTCATATTGTATGACTTGGAGGAAGATACTCTAGGCTGGGATGTATCCAAGCTATCTATCTCAAACACATGCCTGAAAAACAAGATACAAAACCCAGTGAAACAGCAGCATCCGTAAAATCACCTCAAACACCACTACAGGACTCCGGCAAAGCATTCAACACATTAACACAGAAACCAAATGAATTTATTGATTCACTGAAATGCACGCTAAATAATAGAAACATCTTCATTCCCATACAAACCCTTATTACAAATCCTCCACACTCACTGAACTGTAGTCATCTGCACAACTACTGCTCATCATGGGCATTTGGGCTGCATCAGGCTGTAACCCAAGAACACAATGCTTGATGTCCACCCCAGATAGGTCTTAAACCTGGACTACTACATGTAGAACAAGAGTCTGGTACACTAACCATTAGCCTACTGTGCCAACAAAGACAAGGTAAAATACCATTACCAGGAGGATTGTGGCAGCAATTTCCCTTGCAACTCTCCTTTAAACACTCCAACAGCAATGTGATGGAAGCGTATAATGTCTCCTACTGACTTAACCAGTGGCAACATTTCTTTCGACTTGGAAAAGAGCACCAACTTAAAACCTTTTTCCAGTGAATCGAGTGAAGGGTCAGTAAGGCTCAAGGTACACACAATATCAGATCCTCTGGTCTTGAAGGGACTCTTGAAAAACTTCACCACACCGTACACATTAACAATGGTGTTGGCTTTTAAGTCTGCTAGCTTTGTGTAAACCATAGCTTTAGGTTCTAAGATGACTTTGCTTCTTTTGCTTGGTGGTTCAGTGATACCAACTTTGCCTGTACTATGTGCTGTAGTCTCATATTCTACAGGTAAAGGTTTCTGCACAACTGATTCACCAACACTGGCAATTGTTCTAGAATTATTTATTTTTTCTGGATCTTGCATTATCCACATTTTGAGAGCTTCATTGCTTTCATCTGCAATAATATTAAACTGATGTCCATCTCTGGATGACTTTTCAACATGTGCTCCTGTTATCATAAGGATATCCCCTTCTTTTACTATCTTGCACTTCTCAACAAAGTTTCCTTTCAAGAAAATTGAGATAACATCTTGCAGATTGGAATCATTAGAGGAGCCTGAATGGTTGTGAACATCAACATCTTTGATAGACACTTTCATTATCCAACCTCTTGATGTTCGAAAACTTGGTTTGACAGCAGTTAATACACCTGTGAATAAGAGGTACTTGATAAGCCTAAAATTATAGAATAAATAGACGATAGCCTTTCATTTGGTGCGGAAATATGCTCGGATATTTGTCTGCAGACATGATCTGTTCTGAAAAGCTAACAGTTTTCCAAGAGGGTAGCTCGAGGAAAACTGTGGGCTTTGAGGAACAGATAATGTCAAAGAACAAATATCTGAACATATTTTCATGCCAAATGGAGGCTATTGTGTTTATTATCCTTCAAATATTTTGCCCAACACCCGTGGTTTTGAAAATTGGGTAATATCACTCAGATATTCCCCAGTTTCGGCTAAGGAATATTCAGTCATGTGACGTATTTAAACCAATATCACACAAGCAAAAATATTTGATGATAACCAGGGATATACCAGTAACAAAGACAGGCCAATTTTTACGTATTAAAATTCTAACTTGGTTGCAAGGCTTAGAGAAATAAAACAAAAGAAATTAATTATTCATCCCTCGACAATGATGTGATTTCTCTTGTTTTATTCTCCAATACTTTGGAGCCAAGTAAAAATTTTAAATACACTCATCGAAATTGGGCTATGTTTATGAGGTATAGTAAGCTGTAATTGGAAACTGCAGATGAGCAAAAGCCTGACAGGCCACTAGGCTTCAATGCAAGTTGTGATTGACAGTCATGACTACAGTCAGATCAACATGTGTGTAGTTTGCTAAGTGACATTTCCAGGCCCTAGCTGTTCAAAGGCTGGATAATGCTATCCAGCGGATAACACTATCCAGTTGATAAGTGTTAACAGAACAAATCACGCTATCTGCTGGATAGCTTTAAGCACCTATTGAACTACCTGGGCCAGCTGATCTTTATAATTCATGGTAGTGAATAAATGGCCAGATACAAACGCAGTTTTTAAGAACTGTTTTACCTTAATTTCTGGTTTAACAGCAAATTAATGTTCACTGCTTAAGTAATCTTTCAATTTGAGTACTAGCACAGCCTTTAACAGCGGAGCTTCTGTGTGCTGAAGATGCACAAGCGGAGCCCCATAACTCAGAAAATTTGGAAACCCATCGATCTGAAAAATTTGGGTCACATGACTCTCTGTACGTATGAACGTACGTCTGTTTGCCAATACCAAGAAAAATAAGAGAGTAGCACCATTATCCTAGCTATATCTTTGATTTTGGGTATCCATGTCATGGTTAATTGAGAGCTGTCAAAACAAGCTATTTTTCCATTTGATCGCGGGCTCAAGCTAGGTTATTACTTTGGGAGAGAAGGAGGGAGTACATGCAAAGGTAAAATTTCAGCACAAATTTACCCCTGGCACGTTTTTGACCTTTCTTCCAACATATTCCTTGCACAGTCATCTCCTCAATTTGTTAACATTTCACTGGAAAAAATAGTGAAACCACACGCTGAACAATTACATGCTCACAATTGATCTTTTTTTTTTCAGTCTGATCCAAGAAAAACAAATCCTCTTTTCTCTTTATGGTTGGTTATGACTTATTGCAATCAGGAGCTCCGCTTTTTGGTTTGGCTAAATCTATACTTTATGAGCTTGGGTTCGTCAATTGATTAACTACGTTATAATATATAAAGCTAATTTAAATGTGTGCTTTCCTTGTAATACATTTTAAGCTGATGTGGCTCTCTAAAATTCGCTGTAAGTGACAGTTCTGAAAATCTATTGATAAAAGAGGCGAATTCACCCTATCCGCTCCTCGCACTTCGTGACTCGCAGATTCCACCATAATAAAGCGGGTTTTATAGACTTACCTTTGACAAAGCATGCAGAAAAATCTATTCCTTGCTGTATATCTTGAATTTTAATGCACTGATACCTATTTTCAACCTCCGTGACAGAAGAAACGTCTTTGAGAATTTGTACAATTTCTCTGTCTTGCCCTTGGTGAGCGCTGCATCCCGCCATTTTTTTTCAATGACTAACCAAGATCCCTTGCGATGGGGTTGAGCCTTAGTGTTTATCGAAGTGGTCAGCGTACAATCCAAAAAATCCAAGATGGCGGATCTGATAAACTTTGTTTCCAAGAGAGTAATTGACGCTAAAAAGGAAGAAAAGAGAAAAGCAAGGGAACAAATCCTGAAAAAGGCAAGTAAAATTGCTCTTTGGTGACTTTTTAGAACCTCTTCCTCAAACGTGCCGTGTAAGGCAGCCTTTGATTCCACCATAGACCACCAAGAACCACATCGTCAACAGCACGTACTCGTTTGCGTATAATCTATGCCTGAAATGAGCTATGAATGTATCGTTTCGTAATCATCTGCTTGAGTTATTTTTATGTAACGTTTTTTTTTTTTTTCATGCAGGCGAAGGAAGACTATGAGCGAGAGCAGCGAAGAAAAGAACGGCGCATTGAAAGTGGGGAAAGTTCATGGATGCTGCCTTCACTGAGCGAGAGGTTGACAGCAGAAGATGAAAGCAACGACAAGGTAGTTTCGATGAAATGATTGTGTCAAAGCGTATCCTTTATCTGAACTTTCATCTTAACTGAATTATAACGTTCTTCATGAGCCTCTTCACTATGGATTGCAAAGGATTGTGTGGACATGAAATGGAGCTTGGGAAACATGCCAAATAAATTCTGTAACATGATAGCCAAAGGCTTCTTTAAGATTTGGTTCCCCCACTCATCTATGGGTGGGGGTAGGAGAACTGTGGAAAACTGTTTCAAAGGGTTAAAAGAGTGGACTGGATGGAGTTAAGTGCGGCAGGCTGCACCGTGTCATTCATGATGGGACAAGGGGATAGGCTTTTAAGGGGGGTGTGGTGTTCAAGAGACTTGCAACAACTTCTATGTTGGTTTCTTTTTTTAATCAATGAATACTTTTTTAACTCTTTTTAGTTTTATATTTCAACTGTTGTGTTTTTCACTTTCTAGGATAAATCAAAGAGGAAGAAACACAAGAAAGAGAAGAAACAGAAAAAGGACAAAAAAGAAAGAAAGGTACATGTACTCCATCTACAGGCTCCTCATGCACAGAAACCCATTATGTAGTCCATGCACAGGTAGCCCATGGATTGATGGATGGCCTGTGCACATGTTGCCTATGCACAGGTTGCCATTGCCCAGGTTGCTCATACTTAGTTTTTTTGATTGGTTGACTTGCAAAATAATTAAATGATGTGATCATCTGTTTTCTGCAGCACAAGAAGCAAAAGAAAAGTGTTACAGAGGAGAAGTCATCAGAATCAGTGAGTGTATTTTGTAGCTAGGACTTTAAAGTTCAAATCATTGACCATAAAAAAGGATTTTTATTGATTTATCATTGATAATAATGATAAAACATGTACTAATGACTTACTTGACATACAGGTGTAGTCCTTTTTGTCCCTGGCTAGCCATAGCGCCCTCCACCAGACTCTTGTTAACCAATACTAATGATTATCATAAACAACTGGCAATTGTTTGTAATATCCTGTGTAGGAATCTGATAATGAGTGGGTTGAAAAAGGAACCAACACTTCAACAACTGATACTGTGAAGTCCTCGACAGTGCCCAGTCAACCTCAGGTAAGACACTTTCTGACTAAGGATAAATTCAGGAGTACATTACTTGCAAAACATTTCAGA